AKRMTATCCAAAGTTGTATGTTTGTTTTCATGTTGTTTTGAAATTTGTGGARTTGGGATTCCTGTGTGATTCTGCAATTTGTTGGGAYGTTCCTCATTTATAATTGCTCGCTGAAATCTTTTTTTTCCGTGGAAGAAAAGATACGGTTTGGGAAATTAGTGTTTGTGGCCTGCCACCCGTGATGAAACTCACAACACAGCGAAGTTATATAATAAAATATTTACATTTGGACTTGTTCAGGAGTGGGAGTTGATAAATAACATGTGRGAATCRAAATCGACATTTTTYCTTACCGATCCCCAACTGAAATATGCTTTACATCGGCTCCCATTTCCTTGACAATCCCCACAAATTGATGTCCAAGTATRATCGATTTTGAATGCTGTAATTTCCCCTCCAAAACGTCCAAATCAGTTCCACTTACWGCCGCGTACGTGATCTTCACAATAACATCCAAACCTGATTGAACACGAGGCATTGGACGCGTTATAACTGACAAATTGCCATCCCATAACTGGACAGCGTTGTTCATGACCGAAGAAGAAAGTTTTGTGATAAAATTTGCTCGAAACTGTGTTTTCCAAGTACGGAAAAGACAAATAATCACTTTGACACGCTTCGAACCGAACCCGAATTGTTAGCGAATATTTTCCGAATGCCATGCCACCAAGCCTGATACAAATGGTTTATGAAACTGAGTAGGGTAGGGTGGGGAATATGACATGAAGATGCCCAAAATTTTCAAAGAAAGTGATTGACAGTGCAGTATTGCATAGGGCCACTGAAATTTGATAGCTATAGGCGGATCTTTGTTTACAAAATTTTGCTAATTAGCATAAAGTTTAAATTAAAGAAAACTGTAAAATAAGTTTATAATGTAAAAGGACTTATTAAGAACTAATATAAACTACGAAAGTTTGAGGTCATTACRTGGAATAGTTTAGTGGAATAGCTCAAAATTGCGTGGAAAGCTTATTGTGCTATGTTGTTTCAATATTCAGTGCTGATTTACTGATAGTTAGGTTAAAACGTTATATCCTTATGCTAATGATATGTTAATGAACCGAAATGTAAACAAATTATTCGCCTATACATACTGTCAATCAAACGTTCAAAGAGATCAGTGCATAGTCTCTTTTAACAGCCGCAACTTCCGGTCTCGTCAGAAGTTGCGGCTGTTAAAAGAGACTAAATCAGTGCAGTACTCAGGCAACAAAAAGCTTAAGTTGATTGACAGTAGTTTATATTGCAATTGTTAAGCTTTGTCTGGACTGGTTGCATAGCAATGCTTACTGTGAAAGTCTATAAATTATTAGAAACCATTCATCTACAATTAATATCATTCTCTGTCATTTTATTACATTTTATTAAGGCCAAAATATTACAATTTATCTAAAGTAAACAATGGATACCAGTATATATTTCTATGAATTAACTCTTATTATTTATACATTTGAGCTTTTGATTTGCACTAGTAAAATTTACTCTCCATCTACTGTACTCCTCAAGTCTTTCACTAAATTTTCAAAATCTGGTTCAAGACTGAGAATGATTCCTGTGGAAAAAAAGGGAGAAATATCAGCCAGAATGTTAGGGGCCATTGACAGAGACAGTAATTGACTATTCTCAAAATCCCAGTGCAAGTGGATTCAGTCTTAAATTCATGTCGAGTAAATTGATTGGTTATTATAAGTTATTCTTGCCTAGGAACAAGGTTATTCTTTCGTGTAYTGGAATTTTATGAACAGTCAATAACTGCTGAAGAAAACAGATATAAAGGGATCAACAAAAGTCAGATAAATAAATGAGTGGAAGAAAAAAAATGAATGGATGGAAATGCAAAAGATTGTAAAACAAATGGATGGACGAATGAAAAAATTGATAAATGGGCAAATTATTATTTCATAGTAATATGTTTTTCAGTATTTATAATAACCTGTATTTGCTGAACTTGAAGCAACAATGCTAACCACAAGAGGTAGGTAATTGAAATGAACAACCTTCAAGAAGAAAAAGAACACTTGATCAAACATTCCAATCCTAGTCATTCATCACAAGGCTTGTTTACATGATATAGAGCGGATTTTGTATTAGTGGGAAACGGACGGTACTGTACTGTGACCGTAATCGTACTGTAACCAAATTCTAGTGCCCCATTGTTTCACCAAAATTCTGCAGGCCAGGTGCGGTAACTGTGCGGTAACCRTGCGGTAACRKYGTCCCACTCATACGAAATCCGCTCTAACTTGACTCTAACATGTATGGGTCATTGCCACGACACCATGTCATAAGATTTTGAGTCTAAATCATGCATGTGGGATCACTTGCGGCAAGTTGAATAATGTAAATATATGGTTATGTAAATATCTTATACCTGATAATTGGGAAACGAGCATATTATTTTCTTGTTTTTTGATAGTCCAAGTTTACTTGCCTGAAACGAAACAAACAGTAGAAATATATCAAATATGTTATTTTAAGGTTTGTCTCTCCTTGTAAATCATATAAAATGGGCACATTGGGCTTTCTAGATATAGGGGTAGATTGTWGACTTACTTGCTCAGTTGCATTGGCAAATATAGCTAAAAAACTGCTCCTTAACGCACTTGCTGGAACTCTTGAATCGGCAACTAGAAAAGGTAATGAACGATTTTGAGTCAACATACTTACTTATTTGAGTCGACGAGATAACTTATTTACTTTGGGGGTGGGGGTGGTGGAATACAATTTTTTTTTCATGCACCTTTTACAACGGGAACACCATCTCTGTCTGTGACTACTATAGCAAGTATCCCTTCAAATCTGTTCGATAAGAAATACCACAAAATTAGCAATATTCATTAACTTGATAGATGTGGCAGATCCTGTGAAAGTCCCGTGACTTTGAACTAYCAAATAAAGACAAATATATTACTTCAAAAACTCACCTTTTTAAAATTTCATCGAAATATTGAT